TAAAATAAGAGTTATAAATATATAATTTACATATTTTTTATAATTTCATTTATAATATTATATTAATTATAGATAATTATTAATACAATTAGAATTAGAATTAATATTATGTGGATATTTATAATATTAACTACCATTAAATTTAAAAAAAATTAAAGAAATCGATTTATAATAACTTTATAACTTACATAGTGGATGCATTCAGATGGAATATTTGTAGTAGATAAATAAAAAATATGGAACAACAAATTTTTTTTAGGGCCATCTTAAGTTCTCTGATGACTTATCTGCTTCACTAATAAACTTGGACTGATTCTTTCTTAGATGTACATGCATGCTCTTGAGTAAATTAGCTGGAAACCAAACATTACCCAACCATTCCTCTCTCCCACCTACAATATTCTTTTATAAACTGAACACTCATATACTTGTATATGACACTAAATTATACACAATGTATACAGAGTATGTTAAGACTTTGAAATAATCTGAAATACATAAATATATACATTAAATATATATACTATCTAAATAAATAACATAAAAGAAAAGAAAATTTTTTATTACCTTGAAATGTTAAATATTGATTTTTGAAATATGAGAAATAAAAACTTTAAACTAATTTTGATACATACTATTTAAACATTAACATGTTTAATGCAAAGTTGATACATCTATTGAAAAGAAAAATGCTTCTGAGTGACAAATTCGACATAAAGAATGTAAGAATAAAATTTTAATCATACAGAACGGATTCCGACCAAAGGCGATTAAGAAGGAAGGTCCAAAGCGAAGGGAACAGGCAAGAGGATCAATTGATATCTGTATGGAGAGCGATATTAAAAGTATCCTTCTCTTTAATACATGTATCAACTTCGTATGAAAGTACGAAAAAATGTTATATAATTTGTTAAAAGTTTGTGTTTAGCATAAAAAAGCTAAAACATTTGTCCTAGAAGCATAAAAGCTTATAAAATTTATAAAATTTATTAATTATAGATTTAATTCATTTCTATAGACATAATATGTGGTTTCATACATTTGAGAGTAAAAGTAAATAAATGCAGATTTTGTAACAATTTTGTCATTCTTATGTAATGACGTTCAGTATATGGTATTACAGATTCCAATGTAGAACTTAATTGTGTTTGAAATTCTAAATTTTCCATTCCCATCATTAAAGCATTTATGACTACCTATCAAATATGAAAATTACAAAAATATATAAAATTATAATTAAATTGTTTGCTTGAAAGAATAATATATCTTATCATATTTCAGAATTTACCTGAGCAACTTGACAATTTTTACTATTAACATTCCATGTAGTAGCACATTTGAGTAGTTCTTCTTTATATGCAGGTTTTAATTTATGGATTGTTCGTTCCAGATGTAAATTATTTTTTTTTAAAATGGCTAATATATGATACATCAAAATTAAAAAAATAATTACAATATTGTCCAATAATTAATTTATGCAAAATGATCCATTTAAATTTACTCGTTTTAAATAATTTATGTAAAAATTAATGATACAATTGTTCACTTTTTGTAAAATTTACTGTACATAACATCAAAGATTTCAATAAACTAAAGAAAGTAATAATATTTCTTTCGATAACAAAATATGTTATTAATACTTAATTTTGGAAAGTAATCTGCCGACAAACCCTATCGGTTTGCTAATGACGGCCAACTTATAATATATTACCATAGACATTAAACACTACTGACAACATGAATTCAAATTTTCGAAGAAAAAATAAATATAATATATAAAAACAAAATTATTTTTCATATTTATATTCAAATTTCTGAAATCTTACCATGCATAAAAAATATGTGTTATATAATAATAATAAAATGTATTACGTTATTATTATTACATAAATAATAATAAAATGTGTTACAATAAAAAGTTTAAAGTATGCAAATTAAATGGACCACCTTGTATATAGTTATATAAAAAGATGTATTAAATAATATATGCTTATATTAATAATATATAACTAAATCTTACCTTCTACAATTTTAAGAACTTTAAAAGGACGTTCTAATTTTAAAGCTAAGTTTAATGCGGAAGTTAATTTATTTGCTTTAAGTAAATTTGCTAATCGTTGCTCTCCTAATGCAAGCTGTTCTAATTCCATTGCAGCTTTTAGTTTTTTTTCCTCTGTTACATCTTTCCAAATAACTAGTAATGAATCACTTCCACCACTGATGATAGTTTTTTCATCTTTACTGACTTTAATTAAAATATAATGCAATAATTATAATATTATTGACTGAAAAATATTAAAATACAAATGTCAAATTACAAGTTACCTGCAAGTGTCCATATGCGACTTTCATGCTGTTCTAAAGTACATATACATTCTGATGTTTTAATACTCCAAAGTTTTAGAAGGCCATCCGCACTTGCTGTAATTATTTGCATTCCACGTGACAAAAATTCGGCTCTTAATACTGATGATTTATGACCTTCAAGAGTCTATTAGAAGAACAGAATTGTTAATAATAATAAAAAAATTATAATTTAACTAGATTTCTAATTTAACTAAATTATAATTTAACTAGCTTTAAAATTACTTTCAAACAGTGAAGTTCTGTCAATGACCAAAGTTTTATTGTACAATCTGCTGATGTTGTTAGAAGTACTTGATCTATAGGTGAAAATCGAACACACCAAATTCCTCTACGGTGACCACGGAATACGCCAAGTAATTGTAAATTGTTAGCAGACCATAACTACAACATTCAATGTAAATAAATCTTTAATAAAAACGATCCCCCAAATATTGTGCACATATTTAAATTAGTTTTTATACTAATATTGAAGCTTGCTTTATATATAATTTACAGTGCTGATAATTAACATAAAAAGAAATATATAACACTAAAATTACAAATAACAATTTATCATAATAAATACACATTATAACCACCATGCAATATATAAGATGCCTCAGTAACTCTGTTAAAAGGAGATATTTCTATTATCGTTAGTGATATGCTGAAATACCTAACTTGTTTAATTTGAAAGAACATATAATTGTAGTTGGAATCATCTTTTTTTAAAGTCATATTTTTCAAAATTTCCAGGTCATCAATGTTTTTTCAAATGGAATTATATCATTTTATTATTATATTTGAATAGCTGAGATTAAAATGAATCCAATAACATGTCAATGTCATCTTAATGTCATGACTTTCACATGTTCTTCAATGTGAAAAATTCAAGAGTTTTTAGAAATAGATGCGAAACGACTATCATTGAACAATACTAATAATAATTAACAATCTAAATATGAGTGCCTTATTTGTAGAAATTTCATAATGAATTAGCTATAAAATAAAGAATATTGTGTAGAATGTTAAAAAAATGTAATATTCTATACCTTAGCTGTTTTATCTTGTGATCCAGTAGCAATTAACTTATCATTTGGTGAAATAGCTACATTATTAATATCTTTTCGATGAGCTAATGTTGTATGAATAGCATTTAAAGAGTCTATATCTGCAATCATTGATAATTTGAAGTAAAGGTAATAAAATAATATTAAAATAATATAAAATTACAAGAATTACAAGTAATTCATAACATAAACAAACTTTATATTTACCTTTCAATTCAATATTATTTGGCAAATTCCATAATTTAAGACACGAATCTTGACTGACAGAAACAAAAAATTTGAAAGACTGAGAAATTGCAACAGAACCAACTGGAGCAGTATGTCTAATAGCAGAAGCAATACAAGATACTTTAGCTGTTTGTTTATCCATAAGCCATAAACGAATACTATTATCCTAAAAATTTTATAAACATATTGTAAATTTTTAATGTTATATTAAAGAATTTTTAACATTTTTTAATAGTTTTATATAGATTTTATTTTATAATCAATATTTATATATTTTGAGCAATCTTTATACTATAAAAATTATATTTCAATATAATTTTGTTTTCAAATTCAATAAAATTATTTTATTTATGTTAAAAATTGTATTATAAATAGGTTTTGTATAGTTATCAAAAATAGAATTTCTATATTTATAAGTTTTATACTCTTTTATAAGCAGTACTCTGTATATAATTTATATAATTATCCAGCAATTTTTAGATTTTCTTATTTTTTATTGTATTTTCGTAAAATTAGTTTCATTGAATTGCTCAATTAACATATTATGGACCCAAGACTCACCTAAATGAAGATACTTTCAATTTCAAAGCGACTTTTATTTATTTAAATGGAAGTATATATTTTCATTTAAGCATATACTTATTAGCATATAATTATTTAAATACATAATATTATTTTGAGATAAATTCATTAAGCTATATGTTAATATTTCATAACTATTCGAGAATAATAAAAATTTAATAAAATAATAAATAAAGTAATATTGTTTACAAAATATATACATACCTTTGCTGAAGATATCAGTAAGTAGGCATTAGCAAGAGTTGTGGCAAGAGATAACACAATATCTGTATGACCACATAATAATTCACAATTCATAGTTAAAATATTGTATAATTTTATATCACAACTATTAGTAGCAATTGCTATATGACTCCCATTATGTCCAAGATATACAATATCTAAAATTTCATCAGTATAACCCACCAACTATAAGAATTAAAATTGTAATTGTTTTGAATCAATATATTAAAATACAAATTTTATTATTACTTTAAAAATTAATTTTACCTGTGTCACATATTCAAACGTTTCTAATGAATGAATAATTATATTGTGATCAACTGTAACTACTGCAAAATTGTTACTGTTATTATTATAAAGTAAATGTGTAATTGATAGAGTTCCTGCTTCTTTTGCAGCTGATACAATGGAATTTTTTTGTACATATACTTCTTTACCAGTTTTCATCTCCCAAATTTTTACAATTCCTAAAAAAATTTTAATTACGAGATAAATATTTAGTTGTTATTTGTAAATTTTAAAACAGTCATATAAGGAAATAGTATTTTCGATTAAGGAATCGATTAATATTAATTTATTTCATATAAATATTTTTTATGATATAACCAAAAATTTATAAATAGACCTTTTTCTCCTGCAGCAGCAACATAAACAGCATTCGCATCTCCTTTGTAAAAAGGTACAGGTACTGGAACATTTTTAGGTATGATAAATATACCTTCTATTTCCTCATAAACTGGTAAAACTCGTATTGATGACCCAGAAGAAATATTCCATAAAATGAGTACTCTATCTCTTCCTGAGCTAAGTATAAATAACATACAGTAATCATTAATGTGTAATATGCATCATAAATTTTTGGTTCAGTAGTAAATGTTAAAACATATAACTTCAATATATTACCTAACTAAATAATTTTCATCTTTGAGGAAAGATAAAGATGTAACTTTACTGAAATGTCCAGGAAGAACAATTTCTTCTTTACCAGTTTTAATATTCCATCCATGGATTTTAATATCATCGCCAGCAGCAAAGATAAAATCTTTTTCTGTATTAGAATAGAAAACTAAAACACTAAAATTAAATTCTAATTTAAAAATTTCATAAAGATTATAAATAACATATATTAAATTAAAAACAGTTAATAATAGAAATTAAATATAATTCCCTTGTCATTTTGACAATAAAAAATTTCACATTTATATCTTAAAACAGTTATTACATATTTTTCATGATGCTAAATAATAATTATACATGTAATAAAGTGTTATTTATTTAAACTAAAACATAAAATAAATTAATGAATGAAAATATTTTATATATATTTTACAATTATATAATAAATTTATGTAATATTCATAGTTATACAAGTAAATTATTATTAAAGATGTGCGATAAATTGGTAATAATAGAAATATTTCATCTAAAAAATGTGTTAATAAATAACAATTTAAAGGAAAGTTAAAATATTCTATCATTCTTTTATTAAATTAAACTTTCTTATATGAGAAAACATTCATAAGAAACGTATTTTTAATATTTATGGAGATAATAACACCTAAATACTTATGCCGAACATATTGAATGTACAAATTCCGAAGTAGAATTAAAAATTACACTTTCTTCTTCGTAAGGTCAGAATATACTTAATATGCTCCGCTAAGATACGAGTAGCTCTAAACCTGAATTATTCGAGAGAGGTGTCGGAACTGATTTTCCCTTATCAGTGTATGTTCTTAATAAATATTTTACTAATTTAACACAGGTCTGCAAGTAATTTATGGTTTCTTTCAATCTATTTTTATCAAAAATAATTATAGAATTTATCAGACCTAAACAAAAGATAAGAAGAAAATAGTTTTACACTGAAGCATACAAATCCCAATTTATGAAAACACATAAATCAATATAATGAATCATATCAGGCAGTAGACTAAGGTAATAAAATGTAATTTTTATTTTTCCTAACATGATATTTAAAAAAAAGGAATTTGTAAACATCTCAAATATACCATTATAAAATTACCAAGTACTTATCAAAACGTTTTTACAATATTACATTATATATTACATTTATATCACATTTAAAGCTCAATTTTAATCAAGTTTGATATTAGTTTGATACAATATTTTGAAAAATATTTGAAAAAAAGTCAAAAACTATTAACCATATAAAAATGATTTATATTTATATTTTAAATGGAATTAATAGTATCAAATGAACTGAAGCATTTCTTTTTAAAGCTCAGAAACTTACAAATCTGAAATTTTGTATCATTTTATGATTTTGTATTATTCAGATATGAAAATATTTTACTTTTTCATTTTCACTTTGAATTATTTATAGTAGTATGTGACTAATAATTATATTTGATATCAATAGTAGATTTGTTATAATTCTAAGCACCTATATTCTTTAAATTAATTAGTAATTTACATTTTTAAATTTATACAAAATTGTATTAACAGTTATTAAAAATAACAAAATCAATAAGAAGTTGAAAAATACAATAATATAATATTGTAATATTTGCATTTTCAAATACTATTACGAAATATACCTGTAATATTTTCACAGTTAGAACAATAACAATATTTTAATTAATATATAGATATAGTAATATAATATAGATATAGATACCTTATAACTCCTTGAATTCCTTTCAGATTATGAGTACAAGTATGATGTTGCAAATTCCATAATCTGACAGTACCATCACTACCTCCAGAAGCCATTAAATTTTTTTCAGTGGAATAAGCAATATGAACTACAGGACCCTTGTGAATAGATTTCCATAACTTAATTAATTTATTATCTGTAATAATAGTACTTATTAAATACCAATTATTTATAATTAAATCAAATAATATTATTACCTTTCCAGTTCCACAGTTTGAAAAGACCACTTTTGTGATGTGTGATAATATTTAAGTCATTATCACTTGCAGTAAATGTGTTAATTGCATCCACTTCTTCATTGTTATTACTCTCTCCTAAATGACATATTACTGTACCTTTGTTTACTGACAATATAGAAACTGTACCATATTTCTGACAGAATAAATACTGTCCATCTGTACTCCACTATAATAACAAGTAATTTAATGAAGAATGTAATAAAATGAAGAAAAATAAATAATTTATAAATTTTAATCAACGTACTTGAACATTTCCTCCTGTATAAAATGCACCATGTTTGGATACAACTTCAAACCTGAAGTTAAATATAATTAATTGAATATACATACATGAAGTATCAAATTAGTAGACAAAATTTTTGTTTGAATAAAATTCTATAATATGTAAACATATATTTCATTTTAATTTGTCCATATAATAATTTACAAAACCAATACATAAAAAAAAAATGTTTAAAATAATAAAAAAAAACAATTTATAATTAGTACATATTTCATTTTTAATTATAAATTTCTTTATAAATGAAAAATCTGTTTCAATCTACATAAATATACTACTTTTAATAAGAATATATGTAATTTATAAATTACAAAATATATCTAAAATCATTTAACATCAAGTTCCTATATAATACTTTATATTAGTTAAATATGTGATCATAATGCAAGTGCTTAATACTAATGTTTGTAAATATGAATTAGACACTTTTAAATCTATTATTGCAAGTTATTAATGTCTACAAGTAATTTGATATCCATTGTTTAATATGCATTTGATGTTATTAAAGTTTTTATCAATTGGATTCATATTTTTTTATGGCAATCAAATACATGCTTAGTGAAGCTATATAATCATAATAGATATATAAACATTCAACATCTATTAATATATAATGCACATAATACATAAAAATGAATAACATTGTAAATATTAAAACAAAAATATCTTCATCCTTTTTATATGTGCTGCATAGATACTAATAAATAATTTATACTACTGATACATTAAACTGACTATACTAAATAAAATTTTTGATAATCATCCTGTTTTTCAATCATTGCTAAATGAGTAAAAGTTTAAATTAATATCAATGTTTTTTACATGATAAAGTAATAATAAAAAAGAAATAATATCCCTAAAGTATTGATATCCTAATTATAAAAATAAAATATTTCAGAGTTTATAATAATGGAAAAGTAGAAATTTAGGAATAGTTACAATAAATAATACATAGGTGAAGATGTATGAAAGTATTTTTCAAACTCTGTTGTACAAAAAAATACATAAAAAGATCTGATTGGTCATATTGTGAGAGATTCATATCCTCTAACATAAATATGAAGCTAGATCACATAAATATTCAATATTGGCTGAAAGTATCATATCTACAAATCAAATTATATTGCATTATATAATAAAGAAAGTGAATAAGATATACAGAAATCAAATGGAATCAAATAATAAAACACTAATGTAAACTATTCTATAATGAAATTAGGATTAACCATTTAACATAACGAAGAAAAACTTCTTGTAAGACTTGAGCAACATTATGCTCTTTGTCTTATAATTTGTTAATAATTATTAATAAACCTATAGAATGTATTACTTCTGACATAAAATATTTTATTAAATATATTGATTCATTAAATTGATCAATTTTTTTGCATGACATTCTATTTTGAAATATATTAATTTATACATTGTGTATGATTACATGATAGTATATGACATATAATACTAGCAAAATCCATTAATTATATTACACTTGATTTAATGAATTAAATTTCAATTAAAATATTTCACAAAAAAGATACATATAATTACTATATATTAATAATTTTTGTTTAAAAATATAAAACTTATTTCATACCCCGTTATTAATAATTTAAATTATTTTAAAAGAAAAAATTACTTACGCTTCCTTCTGGACAACATTACTCATTTTTTACAAATTATTATGAAAACTTTACTATATTTTATAAATGCTTAGAAACTGACTTTTATTTACATTTGAAGATTGATTAGGATAATCGGTAATGCACGTGTATTTTTTTCATTAAATATAAATATACATAGAGTGGCAAAAACCTCAATGAAAATGATCGTGTATGATCAGTAACTTTATATACAATTTAACATAATTTGAAACAGTGTTATATCAAGATTTATTTGTGTTGAAAGAACTTTAACAATCTACTTATAATAATTTCTTAAAACTTCTATAATATAAAGAAAGATTTTTTATATTTCTAACTTTATAATGTTTTAAGACATGCATAGAAATAAAGTACTTATTGAATGTAACTTATTGTAATGTTATTTTATACATATTAGTCTATTACATCATTTTTAATATTATAATTAAAATAAATTTTTAGTTATAAAACGTAAAATATTAGATGTTTTTTAACCAAATTAAATAATTACAAAATTATTACAATAAACAATTTGTAAATAATATATATATGTCGAATTAGTTAATATTTACATAAATTCTTTTCTTATATTTTTCATAATATAAATATTTTATTCAAATATTGACTATTATTTTTATCCTATGAAAAACATAAGCTGAAATTAAATAATGTCACAATAATTATTAAACCGAATTATTTGTATTTTATCGTATGTTATAATTAAATCTAAACATAAATAATATTTCAAATTATCCATAAATACATTTGTAGATTATATAACAAAGTCATTTAATATTTTATTATATTCCAATTAATGTCACCAATATTATAATCCACTTCTCAATAAAATATATTCTCTGAATATACTAAGGGGGAGTCACAAGATAATATTTGAAACAAATATGATTCTCACAAAAATATAAATTAAGATAGATTTATATTTTTATATATAAAATACTATGTAATTATTTTATTTTATTAAATTACTACATTTTTTCAAAAGTTTTTAGAAATTGTTCTGTCAAGTAACAATCTGTTTAATTCTTTTATTTTCTCTACTTCTATATATTTCTCTATTTCCATAAATTATTTTTATATCAAGAACTATGCTATTATAAAATTTAATCAATACTTGAAGAATATTAAAACTAAAAATATGATAATTACTATATATCAAAAAAATCATTGTTTATATTTGCTAAATTAAATAAATATAAATACATAACTTATCGTCAACAAATTTTAAGCAAATAAGATTATTATAATAGAAATAATTATATAGTGTGAATATACTTTTATCATAGGTATCATGGCGTCGCCGGTCTTTCCGGCAAGTTGGTTGTGCCATCGTGTCTCACCTCTTTCGTATTAAAAGTACAGAATAATGGACGACGTGGTTATCCTAGATGATGCTGTCCAGAGAGAAGAAGAGGTAGCTCATTATCAAGCTCCTGCAATTCAACATAATCCTGACGGGTGGGGACCTTGTGAATTACCTGATCAATTTAAGGATATACCTTATCAACCATTCTCCAAAGGCGATAGATTGGGCAAGGTTCGTTATAAATATGGTTTCTGGTTTCTTTATTTATGAAGATTTTTCACGTATTTTTATTATTTTGTGTTGTAGATATCTGATTGGACTACACCAGCTTTCCAAGATAAAAAATTTCCCAGTAAGTATTATTTTTAAAATTTATTTAACCTATTCTATTTGACAGCGTTATTTATTAGAATTACATGAAATTTATTAACTATAACGAAAATTGGTTATAAATATAATTAATACTAATTATATTCTAGTACTTTGATTAATATTTTAATTAAAGTATTATAATATTTTAAAATATTATATAAATCAACATATACGATATATAGATCAATATATGTATATCATTTACATATTGTTTCAATTATAAGTTAAAATGTAAAATATTATATTAAAAGCATAAAAGTAATAACGGAAACATATAACATGTCTCACAACAAAAAAAAAGATACATAAAAAGTTATTGATAGCTAAAAAGATCCTGTATATTAGAGGATTATTTTTAAAAAATAAGTTAAAATAATATTTAATTATAAAATCTTTTTTAAATTATATATTGATCAAATAATATGGAAAAAATAGTTTTTTTCTTTTGGTTTTGTATATATCTTTCATTTGATTATTTTATATATCTTTATTTATGTATTTATAAATGTTATATATCTCATAATTTTGTCTTTTAATAATTGTAACAAAATAAATATTGCAACTGTTATAAAATGTTTTTGTATTATTAATATATGGACTATTGATACTACTAATGTAGATTATATTAATTACTCTTAATTTTCTCTAAAGTTTAGATTTATATGACATTAAAAGGAAAGAATTCACAGAATTAAAATCTTACAAATAAAATGACTATATAAGTATAGTCATAGTTACTAAAGTATATTTTGTTGTACTCTTTTTGAAATCATATACTTCTTGCATTGTCAAACTTTATATATATCTGGAGAGACTAAATACATTTAATTGTTGTGGGTTTTCCTTTATTTGTAATTCAATGCATATTATGTGATATGTAGACTAAACAAGTTTTATTTCAATAATGATGGTTTTTATGAATAGATCATGAATTTGAAAAATGTTTGTAAAATTTAATTGAAAATAAAAAAATCAGATCTTATTTTTATTACTTTATGATAAGTGGTGCAAAATAACCTATTCAATATGTTCTCTTCATAGCATGCTCTTGTATAATATGCAATTATTCCATAAGTGAAAATTAAAAATTTAATTATAATCTATTTTCATATTTAAATATTACTTTTAACATTTATTATATTTTTGTGAATTAATTTATATTAATATGTAAATAATACATTATAGATTATTTTAATTTATATTGTATAATATACTGATTCTATATTGATTGTAAAATATATCTATATTTATCTCTTTTATTTTTATCTAATGTCGAAAACTATAAGTTAAATTTTTCTGATATGTATGCTATAAAATAGATTATATTAATTTATATAATTGGTTACTACATCATAAGAATTGATCATTTTATTGCAATAATTTCTTGTTTTTAAATATATTTTTTTGTTTAATAATATTTGTATAATTGAAATTTACATCAATCAAGAATATTTTTACATAAATTGAAAAAAATTCCTTTATTAACATAAAAATCCTTCTTAATGTTTACAGACAAGTATACATCACAGTTTGGTTCAGGTGGACAATATGCTTACTATCATGATGAAGATGAAACAACTTTCCATTTGGTTGATACAACCCGTGTACAGAAACCACCTTATCAACGTGGTGGCCGATTCCGCCATAATCAAAGGAACATACGTGGTCGAGGAAATCAACGTGGTTCGTTGAGCCAAATGCAGCAGCTTGGTAAATTAAAACTTCGTGAAAGAGATCGCAAAGGGCAAACAAAACGCTGGGGCAGACAACAAGGTCTACGTAACCATAAAAATCAGCCACCAATTAAAATCCGTGATGCATCTGTTACTGTAAGACCTGATTGGGTAACCATTGAAGAAATGGATTTCCCACGTCTAGCAAAACTATCTTTACCTGGTGTAAAAGATGGAGGAGATATTCTATGTTGTGGCTCTCTTGAATATTATGATAAAACTTATGACAGGGTGAATGTTAAAAGTGAAAAGCCATTGCAAAGAATTGACAGAATTTTCCATACAGTTACTACTACTGATGATCCAATAATTCGTAAGCTCTCAAAAACAGAAGGAAATGTTTATGCTACAGATGCAATCTTAGCAACAATAATGTGTTGCACTCGTAGCAACTATTCTTGGGATATTGTAATTGAAAAAATTGGAGATAAACTATTCTTTGACAAACGAGATAATACTGAATTTGATTTGCTAACTGTTAATGAAACGAGTGTTGAACCTCCACAAGATGATGGGAATTCTTTAAATTCCCCTAGAAATTTAGCTTTAGAAGCTACATTTATTAATCATAATTTTTCTCAACAAGTACTAAAATCTAATGAACCTAGATATAAATTTGAAGAAGGAAATCCATTTATTTCAGAGGAAGAAGAAGGTGATGTTGCTAGTGTTGCATATCGATACAGGAAATGGGATTTAAACAATGGAATTGTTCTTGTTACAAGGTGTGAACATGATGCTGTAATGCAAGGTCCTAATAATGAAATTCAATTTTTAACAATTAAAGCTCTAAATGAATGGGATTCAAAATTAGCCAGTGGTGTTGAATGGAGGCAAAAATTAGATACACAACGTGGTGCAGTATTGGCAAATGAATTGCGCAATAATGCTTGCAAGTTAGCCAAATGGACTGTCCAGGCATTGTTAGCAGGTTCAGATCAACTGAAATTTGGTTATGTTTCTAGAGCAATGGTTAGAGATTCTAGTAAACATGTTATTCTTGGTACACAACAATATAAGCCAAATGAATTTGCAACGCAAATCAATCTTAATATGGACAATGCATGGGGCATTTTACGATGCATTATTGATATTTGTATGAAGCAAAAAGATGGAAAATATCTAATTATGAAAGATCCAAATAAACCAATGATAAGATTATATGATATTCCAGATAATACATTTGAAAGTGAAGGAGAAGAAGATGATGATGATAATGAACCTGTTAATGATGCATTTCAGAGTTAACAGTTTTAAATTTTCTTAATCTTTTTTGGATTATTATTTTAAAAGTTACTGATTTGTACCATGAATACTACATATTGTAAGAAAAAAAAGTGGTATAATAAAAAAAATTTTAATTCAATTTTTTATCATCCAATTCTGAAAACCTTTATAAATTATTTTTACATTAATATTAAACAATTTTTTTTCTAATTATGAATAACTATGTTTGGTTAAATTTTATTTTATTTAATTAAAAACAAAATTTTGTTATCAACAATCTAAATATTTTCTATTTTTAATTTTTCTAATTTTTTTAATGTAATAGATATAGAACTCTAATAATGATTAGTAAAATATTTTTTTTTTTTTAATTTTTTTCAAAATTTATATTGTATACTCTAGATTTTAAAATCCGACATTTTTCTATCACAGTGCTGGTCCATTATTATTGGAAAAAAGAAAAAAAACAATTAATGTGTATTCTTATGTACAAAATTTAAATGCCGAGATTGCATTAATCAAAATGGTAATATAATATTTCACGAGAATACGAAAGTACCAAAATCAAAAGTGATTTGTTGCTAATTATATGTACAGAATGATTTGCTCGCTAATGGACTCAAAAGCAGTACTGTCACCTAACACACTTAAATATCGCAATAGGGTTTTAGTGCCTGCATGACAGTTTGATGAATATATCTAACAATTACGTTTGTGTGTACATATGTAAGCTGTAAAATTTCAAGTGTAAGGTTTTCTGAATAGGTGGTACTGCTTTTGAGTCCATTAGGGAGCAATTCACCTTATATAACATTAACTGCTATAGTAACTACAAAAGATATGTTACTATTCATGCAAAGAAAAGGAAAAATAAGAATAAATAAAAAAAGAAAAAAGAATACAATTTTTTGCTTTCTTTGAAGTGTGCTGGTACGCTTACTAGTAAGGCTATCTAGTATCTATTTAAAGGGCCTTTATGATAAAATTTTTACTGAAAATTGAATTTTGTTTATATACCTAAGTTGTATTAATTTTATATTGACAAGTCTAAAGCAATTGGCTCAATCACAATGATCATGTCCCCCAAAAGAATAATTTGAAAAAATGTTATATAGTATATTTTATTCAATCATGTGTATCGTAATTATTTTCATTTGTTATAAAATATAAATAATTAATATGAATTTAATTATTATTTAAACAATAATATCAGATTATTTAAACTATAGTATCGAATAGAAATATAAAAATGATAAGAATATAATATATAAATAAATATATAAATTTATACTTCATGTAGAAATTCTGACTTTTAAAATTGTAATTTTGATTCATCTGAAAATGTTCGTTTATTATTTGATAGTGACATCATCTACTGCTTATAATATATTTCTTTCAGAAAAGGAAGTGCACTATTACCGATCTCTATGTAGATAAATGAAAATTTTACCGGATTTGATGTCCATTAAATCGTTATAAATATGTTCTTTTACTCTATGAAAATTCTAAATTTATGTGACGTCTTTATGTTATTGAGAGCGGTAAATAATGAAATTAATCGAATACAATAATAATCAAACCTTACACAGCCATATATTATTTAGATGCGGAACATTATAAAATTCGTTTACATCCAAAGATAGACGGTATTCTCGACTGTATTCAAAAACATGTTAATAGTATGTATTAACCCTTTGCACTCGACGTCTTTTTCGCTATAGAAGAGTAGAAATCCAAAGATTTTCTGCCATAAAGCCAACGATATCTTTTAGAACAGTAGATCGTACAACAATTAACACGTAGAATTATTTAATTTCAATACCTTGCACACTATTATATTATTTTAAATTTAATATATCAATTAATATCGATTTTCAAAATTTTATTAAATGGTGACTGAAAGTTGCCTCTCGAGTGTAAAGGGCTAATCTTTAATAACACTGCCCAACAAATTTTAACTCTATTCTGTAATATCTATTAAGTGAATTTTGTTTATTTTCCTGAACATGAATTCATAATTGAAATTACTCTATTACCCATAGTTACTGAAAAATATGAGTTTTTCTAAAACTGCACGATTTTCGACTGAAATGAAGTATTACATAAAAGATCAGAATGTTTGGAGGTTTAATTTTATTTTAAAAATTAGGTAAGAGTACCCAGAGTTTATCAATGTCTATAATTATAATTATATGTACTTCTGAATAATTATAAATGGTCATCAAGGTCTAAAAATAATATCGCCGAGCATACTTTCTGCGCACTATTCTTGAATTTTTACACAAAGTTCTTTATTTGACACAAACTTGCTACATAGTATCGTATTTTATAGGCTTTTCTGAAGAAGAAACCATGGAACAGAATTGTCGAAACAGTTTTCAATTCGATTAGAGCGAGAAAATATTGGTCGGTAACGCAGCGGTAAATATCCAGCTGAAACTAAGAGGCTAGAATTAGAATGTATGGTTACAATTCTGGAAAATCTGTTTGAAATAACAGAAATTAGATTATTTTACTTGCTCTAGATGTAGAATTTTGTCAAAGATTAAAAGAGTTCATCAGATTAAGGATTTTTTTAGAAAGCTTTTTGCTGGAATTAAAAGTTTGTAGAAATCCAAAATCATGAATAGCAGATAGATTTTTCTTAACTTTTTTTAAGACAATATGGAGAGTGGAATATGAAGAAGTGTTTACGTCTGATCTTTACACATCTAATATTTACTCGTTTTACATTTAAATATTTAAGGACATTAGAAATTGTCTTTATTTCGAAATTCGAAAAGAGAGAAATAAAATATAGCAAATCTTTAAAAAACATCGTTAATATATACTTTTTTATAAATAAAACTAGACTTCTAGTTTATAAGTATAGTTGGTTTGAATAATATTTTAATTCGTAAATTACTAAATTAAACAACTTAATCGATTAATACCGAAATGACATCATTAAAATCACTAATACTCAGGATGAATTCAAGTTTGCAGTTTAACTGTAGTTATTTAAAACCAAGCAATAAAGCAGAAAAAATTATTGATTAACTTTAAATTTTAATTTAATTTATCAATTACCACTTGCTACCAAAATCTTAGGAAGTGGGAAATATTATTAATAAATTTATCAGATAAAAACTTATTTTATTGACTTTGTCCTAAATTAACTTATTTTTTTATATAAGAAGTATAAAAGTATCAAATATATAAGAAATAAAGATCAGTGGAGCTTGTAAAAGTAATATGCTTTTGCTAATGCAAAAAATTAAATTTGAAGAAAATGCAGAATGCATAGACGGTTTCGATTATTTTAAAGTAAGTTATAGAGAACGAAATTCTGAATAATTTTTATTTGAACAATAATTGTCGTTTGTCCTTAGTTTTCGAGACATTTATAAAACTTATTGGTATTATTATATTGAATTTTGTCTGTACAATCCACGTATACTGCATTTTAAATTTTATATTTTTTTTCAAAAAAATAGCAAAACAGCAATACTATTACAAGTTCTTGTGATTTATATTTCTTATCGACGTTAAAATACAGCACTTTTTCAAAAACCGAAAAAATTAAACAAATTTAGGACAAAGTCACTAAAATAAATTTTTACTGAAATAGATCATAATAAATTTAAGATAGTTAAAGAATCATTTCAAATTATTTTTTTTGCAAATGTACTATAATTAAAGTTTTTAAAGATATTAAAAAAAAAAATGAATTTAATTATAATGTTAGTTCTTTAACACTTTAACATTTTTTTTATTATTTTCTAATTTTATTTAAGTTACCGATATAATATAATTAAACGTCTCAATCAAATAAAAATTTAACTGTATAATTGTATAACAACAATTTTTTGTATTTTCGTTGAAATTTAATGACTATTATATAGTAATGAGAAAAATATTACTTAAATTGGAAGAAAATACATTACACCTGAAAATACAAAATGAATTAAATAAGTGCTTATCTATTATTTACCTTCGTTCTTTAGCTCATAAATTTTTCTAAAAAATTTAAGTTTTTTAAAAATTTTAGGAAATTTATTTAATGCTGCAGCCATCTGATGGCAAACGTAAAAAGTATCATCACAATGAATAAAAGCGACATCGAGTATACTATCTCAAGTAAATATCCTACAAAAAAATTAAGGGTTCATATTTGATGTTGTTTCATATGCAGTATCAGTGTTGAGAGAACAATATGGCTTCTTCTGTGGTTGCTGCAGCCACAGTTCGTGCTGTCAAAGGTAGAAAAATTCTTGCCACACGAGCTGCGCTTACTTTAGTAAGTAAATAATTAATTTAAATGTATACATATGAGATGATTCTAGATGATTAATATACGGTATTAATCAATATCATTACAATCGTATATATATTTTGAAGATTAGAAGATTGAGGTTAAATTTAAAATCTATGTTGATATGTTGACGTACAATTTTTATCTTTAATATTATTATTCAACATATATTTATTTTAGTAGAGGCTATTATAAATTTTTAATTTTCATAATTTTATTGAAATAATGCAGATACAATTATTTACATGTATATGTCATTTATCTTTTTGTAAATATCAATAATTGACTGACTAACAATTTTTAAATAGACAATTATTTTTCTAAATATGATATATTCTTTGAGAACTTTGTACAATACATTACATCATCCTTTATTATTGGTGTATAAATATGTATACATTTGTTTCTAATTGCTATTTATAAAAAAATTAAATATAGTTGTACAATATATGAGGCAAATATAAATAATAATACATATTTAAACATATTTTAATTGTAGATATCTACACAAATATAAATCCATAATATGTATAATATCTTTATTAAAATGATTACTATTATAATTTTGCATATATTATTGACATGTAATTAGTTACAAAATCATATTAATAGTTATGTAAGGTTCTTTTTTAATATTCTATCTTACAGTTATTAAATGAGGAAAAAGATGGAAATATAGATATACTTCATAATGCAGAATGATAAACAAACAAAGCTGATTGTTTATCTTATTATTAAACGTAATCAAATCTTTTAAATAAAATTTTAAGATTAATAATTTTAATAATATGAAATATTTTAATAATGTGAAATATGACGACAAGTTAACGGCAGTGAAAAGGCATGTTCCTATCTACTTAATATTTAAAATGACTTTTATTGATAATATTGATGACAATATGTATTTGGATATTCTGTAAAACAAATTATAAAAAAAATTCTTATTTTATAATTGACATAAAGATGATATTTTTTAATGATCAATTCCTTAATTTTCAATGGGAAATTAAAAAGAGACGTCATAAAGTGATAAAATGTAAATTAAATAACAACAGCAAATTTAAAAGGTATCACAAAATGGTATTAATATTAGCGATTAAACTTTGAATTTGAAATAATTTAAATAACTTCTGAAATGATCAAAGTTCTAATATATTTTAGGATAAATAAAGAATTATAATAATTAGATACAATCCTTTTGGAGGACACTGAAAAAATATAAAAATGTAAATCTTTAAATAAATAGTATATAAATAATATAATATATATTTAAATAAATGTTGATATTCATAATTATTGGAAAACAAATTATTAAGGAAATAATTAGACAATATGATGATGTAATTAATATTAATATTTAGTATAACTTGAGAACTTTCATTAACTTCTTCATCTAAAGTAGAAATAACATTTAGTATTTAATTTTTTACATATCAATTTAACACTTATTGAATTTTAATTGAATTTGAACACTTTATATAATTTCTTTTTTATGTTTTTCATCCAAATACTTTTGGATTTGATATTTTTTCTCTTCATGTTTCTATATATGAATATATATATCTGCACTTTCCCTCATTCCTACAATTGTGCATATTCTTGCACACATGTATATTCATTAATCCAACCAAGCATAATGCAGCCATATGGATATTCCATATTCCTTATATCTACAATTAGTAATATTTTATCTAATATTTGGGTTCAATCTCAATCTACTCTTTTTTTTACTGTTCATTATGTTAAGTTCTCTTCCTTTGTAAATCTTGTTCATATAATCTTGTATATTTGCTAATTTTGGTATTTAATTCTCCTGCTAATAGGTTTGTATTTTAATTACATTCTATTTCCAAATTATATTCCTGCATTTCAATCAAACCCACTATTCTCTATTTCTTTGTTAACCCTTAACATTATCAATCTTCGAATATTTCTTTCTTTGTACATCCTACAGGATGATGATTTATTTATTCTTGTCCATTTTTATTGTATACTTTGCTTCACTCATTTCTTCGCTGCCTCTTTCAGTTTTGTTTCTACTATAATTTTCCCTCCATTAATTTATTCTTTTTGCAGGTTTCTTAATAGCTTTCATCCATTCTGATTATATCCTGTTTAGCTTCTTATCTCTTCTTTTACGCATATTTTTGACCATCTTATCTCTTCCATTCTAAATATTTCCATTTAATGGTTTTGATCTTTAATTGAATCTCTATGTTTTCTCTCCATTCTCAATCAGCATAGTCTTGTCCCCTGTTGTCATCTACATGTATTAGTTCTATTCCTTTTCTACTTCTTTCTATTTGAAGTTTAATGTATCATATATAATTGAAATAAGTGTTTTAAATAAAAAGATATTAACTGTTTGAGCATTGTGATTCACTATTTAATGTCTATTCCATGGTGGCACTAACTTTGTAAGGCACTACAAACATGTAACTATTAGAACAATATATCCAAGATAAAACTTATTGTAGGATAAAACGTGATATGCACATACCTAAACTAAAAGACGATTAATGTGATGAATTAATTTCAGGTTTCACATAATATGCAAATCAAGATATATAACATAAACATTATTAGAGATATATAAGAAATTTAATAATTCATACATGTATGTCATACCTGCTATGAATTAATTTATATGACATATATGTATGACAATAACTGTTCATGGGATTAATGAAGATATCAGAAATTATAATCTTAAACTAGTTTCTTTACTTATACATATATTTGTTTTTTTAATATTACTAAAATAAGTGGAAAAATCTTATATTTTTATATTATAAGAAATATTTGGTACATTATACCATTTTTAGTTATGTTTGTCATTATTTTTTTACAGACACCAAGTGCAGTGAAAAGAATTAAGGAATTATTGAAGGATAAAAGTGAATTTGTGAGTAAATATTTCAATTCTTAATTTTTTTGCATTTAATATAAAATAATTAAAACATATTTATTTTTAATTATCTTTAACTAATATTAATTAATTAAGTATTTAAATGTTTAAGTAGCTAACACATTTGTTGAGTATTCAATATTGAGACATATAATATTTTTGTGAACAAATACTTTATTATTTTTCATGGAAATATGTTTTATTACTATTTAGTAAATTGTTTGGACTTGTTTTATATTAAATAAGTTTATAAAATTGTGTAATTTGTTTTTTCTTTTGTCTTATTCTTATGCAATAAATTGGTTATTAAATCTTTGTCTAGGATTTCAATACAATTTTCCTCAGGTTGTTTAAGTTTTGTTACAAATAATTTTGCAATTACTTTGTTCCTTTTTAACTATGTGGATTCTTATTTTTATGTTATTTTGCATTATCTTGTACTGTTTTTTTTACAAGTCAAGCTGAATTGTGTTATAAAATTTATTTCACTTAAACATTTGATTTTACTCGTGTTAATTTTAAAGTTTTTCTTTTATCTTTGTAAGCCTTATGTAGTTTTGTTTACTGCATTTTGATTTCTTTTTCGAAATTTTCTAGTTTTTTGAGTAGATCTTCCCTAGCTTTCCTAGTCATAATGTTATAACCTGAGTACTATGGATACCTGCTCCATGATTTAATGGCCAATCTTCAAAAACACTTTTTTGTATACTGGATTTTATTGATTGTATATTTTAGTCTGATCTTAAATTTTTTAATATTTTTGAAATATCCTTCACAAAATATATATAGAATATTGAAATATCCATAGTTATCTTTTATGACCTCAAAGAATTTAGTTTTATATATTATTAAAGGAGGATGTTAAAAAGAGGCCATTTTTGACATTGCCTAGAAATGAAAAATTCCTTCAGGACCTATAAGAGCATCTTCCAAGGAATTCCTTTATCACTTTGCCAAAAAATGATGGGAAAATTGTTAGAAATGAGTTGAAGTATGTGAAAATGAGACTCATTGACCATACTCAAGCGTCATGTTTCGCTGTCTTCCTCTTTGGATACTGAATTATCTTGGAAATAATTAGCGAGGATCTCAGCTGGCAAATGAACAAATGAGCAAAGCTGAAATACTATATAAGCATTGCTACATGGGAGTAGCACTCAACAACGCATTCAAATTTGTATGCATTAATATGCATACAAAATATTTTAAAGTATTTGAATGCTGTGGAAGTAGTTTCGTTTTTAGTAAAATGCTGTTATTTGGTTCTACGTTAACTTGGTATTTTTGATAATCCATATGGTATGATGGTGTTGTAATTTTTTGATAATCTATGTGATATGATGTAGCAATTTGGAAATCAAAATCTCCATTTTATGTAAGCATAGATTTTCGAAATTTAACGTTGGTAAGATTCTAATTGTATGACTCCTATCTTGGAAATCAGCTCACCTTATGTTTATCTTTTCTATATCTACCAGTTGCCTCAAAAAATTAATCTGCTTCGAATATTGCAAAATCTTGTTTATAATTAGGTGATCAAAGGCAGATGTATGAATCGGATGAAACATTGCATTTAGAATGGCACAAGCTATTTTGAAATCATGAAATAAGGTGGGCAATGAAATATTTTGGATACATTTATAAAACAGCTTTCTATGCGTCCATTAATTACTTTAACTATAAACCAATTTTTTGTAACGAGTCGTGATTGGCTTGTTCAACTGTCAATGGTTTCTCAAGTCCATCTGCAAATGATGGCATTTTAGCAATGAATAATTCTCTTCTTGTGACTTCCTCCAGAGAATCTCAAAAACCATGATTCTCAAGGAAAACATCATGTGCTTCAAATTGATTACACGTATTTGCTTCTAACAACATTTCATTTAGAATTAATGTATTACTTTTAGATTCATGATGTAGTTCCTAAATATTTACTATATAACCGTCCATATAACCAATTACTGACTCAGTATCGAAAAGGAAGCGACGAAACATGACGCTTGTGTATGTTCGTTCAGTTTCATTTTCACATATTTTGACAACTTTTCCATCATTTCTCGACAAAGTGATAAAGAAATTTTTTGTTCTTTGAAAGATGTTTTTAAAGCCCCTGAAGGAATTTTTCATTTCCAGGCGATGCCAAAAATGCCCTATTTTTTAACATCTTACCTTATTTTTGAAGTAGCTATGATATGATAGTAGATATGATATGTACAATCAAATAAAATATAATGTTCTACTTAGAAAAAACAAATTGATTTTTATACCTTATTAATAACTTTCAGCAGAATAAAATTATAGTTACTGTATGTTGATTCATAACACTATACAATTGTTATGAAAAACATTCTTATGAAATTTTGATTATAGTGAAAATGTTTCAGGTGATAAAGTCAGGTGAAATACCATGTATATGTTCATATTGGTGGTACAACTGAGCATGAGGTGATTCTTGTAAATATAAATGCAAATATAAATTGATAATAGCAAATGAAATTTTCTTCATTCCTAATTTAATACAAAAAATCTGTTAATGATAATCAATTAAGATCTAAATCAATAAATATTTAGGATCATTTTTTATATAAACTATAATTTTTTTCATTTATATGAACACGTGAATAAATACCAGAATTAATTTACCAGAATTTAGAAATAAGTTTTTCTAAATTATTAGATATTAATATTTGATGTTCATATTTTTTGAATTGAAGTAAACTTTATTCTATTTTTTTTTTATTTTAAAATAATTGTTTTTTACTTTAATAATTTTGCTTTATGCAATATTTTGTTATATCTTCATAAATGCTTAATATTTTATTTGGATCAATTTATTTTATTTTATTTTGACATTTTTCAAATATAACATTTTCAAATAATAATTTTTCTGAATATATTTCAGATTACTACTAATATTGTCTCAATATTATTATCCAATGTTTTGCAATTTTTCTTTTTAAGTATTCTAATCAATTTTTTTCTAAAACATTCCTCTATTTTAAGTTATTGACACAGTTCCCTTAATTTCTATAATTGTATTAATTTTTAGTAGAAAAATTTCCCTAAATCATGAAGTTTCCTCCACTCTATTATATTGCTGGAGTTTAGTACCCTATATTATTTTTTATGCTAACTGGGTAATATGTATGTCTCTTCCCACTTTCAAATGAAGAAAAATTTGTATCTTCTAAAGAAGCTACATTCTTCCAGTTTTAGTCTGTCCATTATAAATATTTCTGATTTAGAAGGTTCTGTTAAAAAAATTTGTATACAAGTATGTATGTAAGATAAAATTTTTAGAATAAAAGTTATTTAATACGTATTTCCTGAAAACATTTTGTATGACATACCTGTTTGTGTATTTATTTATTCAAAGCAATTCTTAAAAATATATACAAAGGTATGTAACACAAGGTTAGCCAACGCTGATTATAAGAATTCATTTCTTTTAGAGCTGATTCAAATGTAATTCATCAGCATTTAGACCTATAATATTTTTTTGCAAAATATACAATAATTATACAAATGTTTCTTATTTCAGATTGGCCTAAAGGTCAGTGTGAAACAACGAGGATGTAATGGCCTCAGTTACACTCTTGATTATGCCAAAGAAAAATCTAAACTTGATGAGGAAGTTGTTCAAGATGGTGTTCGCATCATAATTGATAAAAAGGCTCAGTTATCATTATTAGGTACTGAAATGGATTATGTGGAAAATAAATTAAGTTCAGAATTTATTTTTAATAATCCAAATATCAAAGGGACTTGTGGATGTGGCGAAAGCTTTTCCGTTTAGATACCTCATAAAATTGTAGTTAATATAGATTGCTTAATTATGACGAATTTTAGTGAAATGTAACTTCACAAAAGATAGTCGTACTAAATGACTTCTTTTTCATTATTTTATTGAAAATTGAATATAAATATTTGATTTTAAAGTAATAATAAGTTATTTTAACATGAATAGAAATCCATAACAAGACAGATTTAAGATTAATTAATATTATATACTGTCCTATAGAATGAGAGAAAATTATTTATGTTTATTACAGATGAATTTAAATTGGTGAAGATTTGTTAAAAAGAACTTGATATTAAATATGGTATTTATGTATATTGATCTTGATATTTTAAGATCATACTTGCTTCTTAATTATGTATATTTTATTAAAGAAAATGAAGAAAAGTTTAAAAAGAATTAATTGTTTATTAGTAAAATATCATTAAATTTTGTATAAGCATTTAATTATAAATAATAGACTGTTATCAAAAAAATATTTAACTTATTTTATCATCTAATAATTTAAATAATTACTCCTCAAACTTTACTTAAAGCATAATAGATTTTTCTCATTCTTGCATTTTTACTACACCCAACTCGTGCCTATTTTCATACTTTCTGCCGATAGATAATGAGCTCAAGTATTGTATGATATTCATTTAGAATAGATTCTTTTATTTTAGTAAGATATTATTAATAATAGCCTATGCAAAATTTAAATATTTTTAAATATTCAACATATTGAATAGTACTTAATAATTACAAATTGGTAATAAATGAATTAAATCAAAATTAAAAATTAACAATACTTTTTCTTTTATACATCATTAGAGTTTCCTTTTATAAATAACATCGATTTTGGCTATGAAAAAGTAGAATGAGACTACACTTTATTATAAAAGCAGTTTTTTAATTAAATATATATACAAAACTTAAATACTATTTATAAGTAAATGATTTCTTTTCTGTCAAGGAAAAAAAGCAAGTGTGAGTCAATATCTTTTAAATAGCGATTAATTTATTAACTTCAAAAATTTTAATTTTTAGTAAAAGAATAAATATTCCTATTTTCGTGTAGAGCATGTAAAATATTTTTATATATATAAACTGTATGTCTGACAGATTTATTCTACAAATAAAATATAGACATACAAAATAAATTATTCAAATATTTATAAACCTAAATATTAATTTTGTAATTGAATACAATATGTAGAATAACTAATGTGATATATAGACATGTATAATGGTTAATATAAAATATTCTCACTGTTATGACAAATTCTCTATATAAATGTGTTTACTATTCTTCGTTATGTATGTATATTTGTATTTTGACAATTTCTATAATTATATGCTGTATATATTTATTAATAATATATGTGTATATAATTATGTATGTGCTATATGTTAACTATGATATTGGGTTGTGCCACACAAAATTATTATCCTTATAGGTCTAAATAAAAATGATATATTTTCAAAACAATAATTCTTATTTGATTAAAATATGCATCATTAGTATTAATGACTTTTTCAAGTAAGATATTATGTAATATACACTATTTTTATAAAAATGGATGCTTTAATTTAATAAATTCTCCAAATGTTGGAATTCTTGCTTCTCAAGTATAAAATATTTATTCTTTACAAAGAGTTTTAAACAGTAACAAGAAATAATATTTTAAGATTGATATTTATGAGTATGGGGAATGTCTTAAAATTTCATATTTTATTTCAATTAATTTTGCTATTGTAATTATGATGTCTATTATTGTCTAGAAATATGAATCTATATCTATTTATGAATAAAATTTATTTTTTAAGCAATATTTTATGCGTATTTTTTTTTTGTTTCCTGAGCATGTGATGCTATAATTATTGCTTTATTTAAATTTGAAAAAGAGTGGATTATTCTCTTCATAGATTATTATATAGCGACCAAAACCTTTTGAAATTAAAAATTTGTTTAAACATTTTTTAATTTTTTCTTTTAAGTATAAGTAATTACAAGCATTAAATTTATGTGTAACAAATATCTTTTTGGAGTAAATTCTTTCATTACATAAAATAATTACACAATTATAAAAAAATTACTCAACAGACAAAGGTAATAAAGGTATGATATCAAAATAAATTTATATAAGTAAAATTATAGATTGCATAAAATTTACTAATTATAGTTAATAGTTAATTATTCTGACGTTAACAATTTTATATAATATAACCTAACATTCATTTGATCCATGAAAAATAATTTTTTTTTTTTTTTTCAATTTAAATTGTGTGTTTAACTCATTTAAACTAACTTAAATAAGTAGTAACAATTGTATATTTCATAATCGGAGTTACTTAAATTTTTCATAATTTAAAATTGTTGAAAAAAATTAAAAATACGTAATGCATTATTATGAAAACATTAAGATACAGAGGAAATAAAGTATATAAATATTTTAAAACGTTAAAATTCAACTTTTTTGATATGGATACTTTATGGTTACTATACCGAATTAAAAATTGTATTTAATTTTGACATATAGAATAATTGTAATACCTTTTTCAAAGAATGGGGTCGCAATTTTTTATTTATATATTTGCATTATTTCAGCTTATTATATTATACTTGAATGCTCTTGCTACCAGAATTAAGGTTAATTTGAAAGGACATAATCTGCTTAAATACAAATGAAATTTGGAAATTAATTAAACCACGTACTTTTAAAAAATTTAGATTTAAGAACAAGAATGAATTTTTGTAGGGTAAGAGTATGTGGAGATAAACAAACTAGTTAAACGAAACAAAGTATAGGCTATACCTCTAAACTTGAGACTTTTATTGAAGAAAGTCAAAAGAATTGTAACTTCCACTCTATATAAAATGCAGTTTCTGTAAAAAGAACCGACCCTTTTTAGTTGGTTAGTATGATGAGTTCTTAAGAGAAAGCCCAATTTAAAATATTGTCTTACCATCTACCATTAATAAATAGCGGTAAGTTACCAGTAACGGAGATTATAGGGGTCCCTGTGTGGTAGCTAGATGTCGTTTAAAGTCACTTTCATAGTATCTCAGTAGTAGGATTCAACTATAGAGATTTTGTTTATTCAGCGATACCTATTCAGACAGTACATTTATTATTTGGTTTGTAATTTGAGCGCATATATTGAATATTTTTCTCGACATTTTGCCTATCGATAGTTGTTCCTTATAACCCTATTATTTATGTAAATCTATAATAGATATTAATATAGAGTTTTTATTACAAATATAATAAATCATCTGAAAGATTATCTAGATTATATATCATGGATATTGTACGAAATATATCATAAAGATATTAAATTATCTTACAATTAAAGGCTACAGATTTTATATTTATAATTGTACAGTATTATACATAAAACCAATTTTAATTATTTTAATTGTATGTATACTGTGTATGAATAATAAATTAATAATTAATATCCTTTTTTTTTATCACAGAAAATATTATATTGTATTCTTCTTAATAGTTATTGTAAATAATTGTAATAAGATTTCAATATTTCGTAATTAATTCAATAAATTTATATTTTTTTTATTTCTATATACAATTATTATTTTCAAAAATTAAATTAATTTGTTTGTAATACTTTTAATCTTATTTTTCATATAAATCTATAATAATATGATATTTATAAAGAAATATTTTTATAAGTAAAATATGCATTACTATTGTAACAAATTATACTAAATAAAAAAAAAAGAAATTTAAATATTTTGTTCCTTTATGTTATTATATAAAATTTTATAATTGATGTCGTACGTTGTTATTTTAACTATATAAACACATTACATAGTTTTCATAATAAATATATAAAATGCATTGTATACTTTAAAAGTTAGACTTAAAAAAATAACATCATAAATAAAAACTCTGAGTTTCAAGATATATAGTGAGCCACAAAATTATTTGCTCAGTCGATGATGCGGTAAAGATTAATGTAGTACCCAGGCAAAGAAGGAGTTTTCAAACTTCTTTTAATGGATATACAACATTTACAGATAAGTGTAACAAAATCATTAAAAAAAATGTGAAAAATTTTGATTTATAATTGCAAAGAGACAAATCATAACTAATCTTTACACTTTTTTACGTTACAAAATTATTCGCTCATTTGATAGTAATTACTGTTTAATCTTATTATCTTAATAAAATTAATATTTAGTGGGATACTTCTTCCGTTTTATAACTTCTGCAAGTCTTCTTGGTATTGATTTTTATTATTTTTTGTAAATAATTAAAGTCTATTTTTTGCCATTCTTTTTATAACCTGTGTTGTAATTCAGTTTTAGATTTAATTGAATGTTTATGTATTTTAGTATTTAATATGTTCCATATCATCTCGATAGGATTTAAATCTGGGGACTGTGGTGAAGTTTTCATTATTTTCGGACAGTTATATAACAACCATCCTTGCACTACTTTTAATTTGTGCTTGAGGTCGTTATTTTGGTAAATGTAGAAATTGTCTAAGATCTCCATCTTTTGAGCACTTTGCTTTAAATTTTCTTTTAAAATGCTTAAATACACTATTTTGTCCACCCTATCCGTAATAATTTTCGGATTACGCACACCATGATAACTAATGTAGCCCCAACCATTATGTGACCGCTTCTGTGCTTAACAGTACTACGCAAATTTTTCGGATGCAAATCCGTGTTTGGTTTTCACCAAGCTGTTTGCGGACTGTCGAAGCCCTAAATATTAATTTACTTTCATCACAAAAGTTCAGGAGGTTTTGTTAATTTCGTTTAATGGTTTGCTTCGCAGCCATTGTACCCGTTCTTTCGCAGTGTTCTTCTAATTGTTTCATGAGAAACTGTTTGTTTAGGAAAATCTTGAAAGAGTGAATTGATTTGGGAAGCATCCAGTTTTGGATCTTCTTTGACTTTTTTCTTTTCTACAAATCGCTCTTCTGCGGAATTTAATAATTTCTTCATACCACGGCCTGTTTTATTTTCTACTTATCCTTCTTATATGTATCGTTTTATAATGTATCACACTATAGAATAACTTCTGCAAACAATTTCTCCAATATCCCTAATGGATTTTCTATTTTTCCAATGAAAAATCATTTTTCTGGCTTTCAGAACTGTTTCTTCACTTTTTCCATAACCCATAATACTGAATTGTTGAAACGAAAACTAATGTTTTTTAGCCACTCGCCTATGTTATACCGATTACTTTTAGCGAGAATCATAAACAAATGCCTATGAAAGTCACATCGATTGCATTTCTTTTTGCTTTGTTCGTAGCGTGAACGAATAATTTTGTGACGTCAAAAAGTTCAAAGATTAGTTATGATTTGTTTTTTGCAATTATAAATCAAAACTTTTCACTTTTTTTATGATTTTCTTACCTTTACCTGTAAATAATGTATATCCATTAGAAGAAGTCTGAAAAAATCTTTCTTTGTCTGGTTACTTCATAAATCTTTATTGCATTATCGACTAAGCGAATAATTTTATGACTCACTGTAGATGAAAATATTAATATAATTTTTATTTTCTTTATGTTTATTTTATTTTATACCATATATAGATGAAAAAAGAATGTATAAAATTGTTATACTGAAGTACAAAAATGTTATATTTTTATTCGTGTTATCAAATGTTATTTTTGTTTTGATGAAAATATTTTCTTTATTATTGAAATCCTTTCTTATCATTTTCTCGTAAATTCATTAATTAGATTAAAATATATTGATATAGAACATCATTCGAAACAGTATTTGTGTGAGTTGTCATTTGTTGAAGATAATATGGCGGGAAACATTTGTTCAATTTTGAATAGATGGGTATATGTGGCGCCATCGCCCGGATTGCAAAGTTCCTCGATCCTTATTGTGCCGGCCGAAAAGCAGCAATACCATGCGCACAAGCAGGTCCTTGTGTCGTGTGCCTTGTTTCAATATGACCATTTCCACCATGGCCAAATTCAGTCATGGCCAGTTCTATCTCAGCCAGTTCCTCACCAACCTAACGTTTGGCCACATCATCTGCTACCGCTGCAGCTTCAGCCAAGCTTTGCTCTTCGCCTCTATTTCATCTCTTATTAATAAAGTCTATTTATTCTGCACTTCGTGTTTGATTCTACGCGCCTTAAACTTAGACTAAAAATCCCTAGGCCACGCTAGATCAAGGTGCCAATGTGACGCCGCACGCGCGCCACAGTATCCGAACATATTGCGGAAGTGGCGCTAAAAGGTAGCACGTGGTAAAAGAATTTGTTTGTGCACATAGTGCTGCCACCTTTCGCCGACACGACAAGGCTCGAGGAACGTTGCGATCCGGGCGATGGCGCCCTAGATATTGTTTATTTATGTCTGTTATAAACATAAAACAAATAAAGGAATTTTTTTGAATAAATATATTATAATATAGTATTTGAAAATGAATACTTCATGGAAGAATACACGTGTTGCATTAACAAATTTTGCAAAGGTGTTAACTTGTTACAAATGGTAATATTTTAATTAACGCTTTTAAAATATATGTATATAAAATATAATGTCTGATATTACATTGTTTTTTGAATTCTTTCATATGCATATTATTCATATACACCTTATTTTTGAAGATATCATTTGTATAAGATTTTTCTTGTATAAGAAAAATAAGATTGTATTTATAATAAGTTTTTTTATTTAATTTTTATAACCTTAATAAAATTATTCTTAATGTTACAAAATAAGTAATGTGATATACATTAGAATTATATTTTATACATTTCTTATGATTTCTCATTGTTTGTGAAGTATATTTCACAAGAATTATATATTTAACAACCGGTACTTAAAAATATATGAATAAATATATAATAATTTTCTTCTTTTTGTTTTAGTGGAAATAAACCAATAAATGCAACAAGACATATCTATTGTGGTCACTTTTTTTGTAAACAGTGCATTGAAGCTGATTTTATATGCAAATGTAAAACACCTATACAACCAAATGAAATATGTAACGATCACTTAATTAATAGTCTTGTTTCTTATTGTAGTACTCTTGCAGAAATAATACAAGAAAGGTATTATAATTCTTAAAAAATAAGTTTCTCTACCTTTCCATTTATATCCTTAATATATATTAAATGCATTTCAAATGAATTAGATATCTAACATTATAATATTTTATTAATAATTAATCTTAATTAAAAGATTTCATATTGAGTATATTTTACATTGCTTTTTAAAATAATATTTTAATATGATGTGCATTGATTAATGCAAAATTAACATAAATTTAATAGAGATTTATGGAATTTAACTACAAATTCAAATGAATTACAATTGCCTGCAACAACAGAAATTAATTCTACAGCAGATAATATAAAATATTATGTACCAAAAAAAAACATTAATAAACAAAATCCTAAAGGAGAAACAAAGTTACATATTGCATGTTTGAAGGTAAATTTTTAACATTTATAATATATCAAACTTTATAAATAATTAGAAATTACAAAATGTAGCAAAATTTATTCAACAAAATTTAACAAATTTGAATATTTACAGAATCAAGAAAAATATGTATCGCTTCTGTTAGCTGCTGGTGCAAATCCAAATACAAAAGATCATAATGGTTGGACCCCTTTGGTAAATTTATTATTTTAAAATAATGTTTTTGGTGTGTTTATTAGTAATATGAAATATGTTTCTACTATTTACATTATGTATTTTCTTTTACAGCAAGAAGTTGTAAGTTATGGATATACTAACATATGTCGCTTACTATTAGAGTGTGGTGCATTACCAAATACATCTGGTGCTGACAATAGAAAAGCGTTACATGATGCTGTTATGAATAATAGATTGCCAGAAGCAAAACTGTTATTAAAATATGGAGCTAATAAAAATGTATATGATGATCATGGAAAAAGGCCTATGTATGTATTAATTAATATTAGTTTATAATATTTTATGTTATTGTGTATACTTACAATGATGTCTCGATATTTGCGTAAAACTTTATTCCTATAAAATTATATTATTACTTTATATTATTACTCTATGTTGGATTTTAGAGATTATTGTCAACCACATAGTGAGCTGAAGAATATTTTAGAAACTGAAAATGAATTGAATAATATAAGCGAAGAAGATAAGCATTTTAATTATACCTTAAATCAGTCATATTCAATACGACCATGTGATACATTTATCGTATATGCATTAAACTTACGAGAGGAGAATATAAAAAATTTAGATCAAATAGTTCTAAAGCATAAAATTAAAATTGCATCTCAGTTTCGGTATGTTACTAATGCTTTTTAATATGTTACGATATGTAATATTAAACTATAGATTCAAATTTAATAGAGTACAAAACTCTTATAATATATCATAGGTCATCTGTAACTCATGTCATAGTTGAAACTAATAATGAAAATGTTGTACAATTATCATACAATGTGATGATAGCACTTTTACGTGGAACTTGGATACTTAGTACTGAGTGTAAGTTTATTCATAAAGTAATAAATTAATAACTTGTAATATACTTATATAAATTAAATTTGATAATATTTTATGCTTTAAAAGGGATTCAATTATGTATGGAAATGGGCGAATTATTCAAAGAAGATTTAGAAATATTTGAAGTTAGTGGTGCACCAATTAAAGGTATTCCAAAAAAAGCTAGAGAAAATGCAGAAAGTCAGGTAAAATTAATCAAAATTAATATACAAAAAAAAATTAAAAACTACATTAAATACTTTTAGTTAAAGTAAAAAACTATATTAAATACTTTTAATTTTTAGAATCCAGGTCTTTTCAATCAATGTCATTTTTATTTTTCATTTCAATCAAAGAGTGTCTATATATATAATATGCAGTTAACAAAAGATGCATTAATAACACTTATAAGAGAAGGTGGTGGAACAGTTTTGAAGAGAGGACCAAATCCAGAAGATATAAAGGATGAAGAAGAATTTATTCCCTTTCATGTTGCCAATGAACCTACTCATTCTTTATATAAATGTAGATATTATATCATATATATGCCAGGTAAAAATGAACCGGCTATTAAATATAATATGGCCCATATAAAAACACTACCGCTTGCATGGTTAATTGAATGTATAGAAAAATTTACTTTAATTGATCCGATACAATTAGGTTTAAATAAATTTTAGTTATATATTAAATTAAAATTATTAATTAGTATGTCATTATTAAATTATTTCATGTAACTATATGTTTTTTATTATGTAATTAAACATACTAAAGAAAATATAATTTTGCTCCCATAATTCGTTAATTTAGAATATTAAAATTAATAGTAAAATTTCAGTAAAATACCTATATTCTTATTTGAATTTTTAAAAAGTCATATGTTAATGTAGTACTATGATTACGAAGGATTGACCGTTGCGCAAAGAACGATAAATTCCAAAGGGAAATATCGTACGGTATCCCGTACATTTACGGGTAAAGTACCGCTAGTCGTGCACATATACATACAGTTGTGGTAAGGAAGAGGGAATGAAAGAAAAAACTTGGAGGGGAGTGAGAGAGAGGTAAAGAGGAAGAACAGTGTGAACATGAAAGATAGGGGAAAAAAGAGATTCTAATATAGTTGAGATCAGATTTGAAAGAAAATGTAATATAAATAAAAAATAATAAACCGAAGAATATATAAAGCTACAAGAATAAAACAATATTTACGTGCAATGAAAGAGAAACGACTATGACAATCATTTTAGGGATGATTTACATATATTTTAATGTAATTTATGTAAATAATATTAATAATATCAATTATTTATATAAAATATGTAATTAACCATTTCATTCTTATGATCCATAAGTATATTTCTTTTCAACACTGTCTATTAATGTATTGTAAAAATGTTATAAGATAAATAAAAAAATGAATATGTATCACATATTACAATTTGACAAGTTAATAATAATATTATTAATTGTTAAAACATTGTATATGATTTTTGATAATGTTGTATCTTTCAAATTTGTAACTATCACTATCATAATTAGAATTATTATTAATCATTTCTCATAATTCAATAAATTGAAAAATCGTTTCGTTTATTTTTGATAAAAACATTAATTTATATTTAAATTATATTTTAATTTATTTGATACATCACTTTTTGTTATTGACATAATTTCACTATCTTATCATTAATTTATAATGGTAAATGACAAAATTAGAAGATTTTAGTAGTGATCGAAAGATCAAAATTTTCAAAAGTATCCGATGATGATGCCAACAACCCTTCCCCCTCTTTTTGAGTAATTCTCAGTGAGGTCGTTGACGATCATTCTCTCTACTTCTCCGCCTTCGTTCTTTTCTCTCCTTTTTCTGACTGGCGTAAAAGAGGGGACCCGCACCCTGACCCACAAGTGGGCCCCGGTACCTCCTCAGTCAGTCAGTCAGTCAGTCAAACAAGTCTAACAGGCAATGCGGGCCCGCATAATACCGTGGCTGCCGAACTCGCGGTAAAGTAGTTTGACACGCACGTGTTCGAACCGGGTAACGACACAGTGTGTCTTCCTTTAACTGTTTTTGCGGTTACCTTTTTAAATTGAAGAAAAAGAAGCTGAAAAGAAAGAGAAAGAGGGAGAAAAGAGAGAGAGAGAAAGAAAGAGAATGAGGGAGGCGAAGATGATACTGAGAACAGTCCCTGGGGGCATCGTCCTTTTCCTCCTACTTAGCGGATCGATCGCTGCTCAGGACGACGATTCTTTGGCTGGCAGTTTCTTGTCAGGTAAATCAATTATTTCTTTATGGATGCCATTATAATTGTAATTATTTTTCTGCATTTAAACACTTTTCTAATATTTCCTTTATTCTTTCTTTTAAATGGACTTTTTATTTTATTCTGGTACTTCCTTAACTTTTACTTTTTGTTTTTTATTTCAAAACTGGGCTTTTATATCACATTTTTATTACAATAAAAGATAATTATTGCAAAGAAGAATGAGATTTATATGTTATATATATTTCATACGTGTTATCAATATTGATATAATCACGAGTAATACATTTGGCGTTATGTAATTTATTTATATGTATTTCATATATAAATATAAATTCTTGCTACAATGTAATATGTAATTCGACAACAGTGAGAAATAATTAAATTAGACTATGCTATACTTTTCTTTGTTTCTCTCTTTATTCTTTACTTAGAAAAATTATCTTTTTTAATTTATTACATGTTTCCCTAAATTTTGCATTTTCCCTTTTGCAAAAAAATTATTTATATCTTTTAATTGCTTTTGGCATTCAATATCTGCAGATTTCTATCTTCTGTAGAGATCTATTATGAAAAATATTGCACAAAAAATTTAGTTCGTGGGTAAATAGAAATGTAATCCATTGATTCAACAAATGTAAAAGAATTGCTATTCAAAAATTCGAAGTATATTTCTCATCGTAGTTTTCATGGTGCCTCTAAAAATTTTTGCTTTATTATTTGAAATAGCAAACAGGTTGTTAAAGTGTACAGAAAATAGCTTTAAATAAAATTAGTTCGTAGCAGAGGAGGTTTCGAGAAATAGAAATTCGCGTGCGTGAATGTATGCTGTGCACGCTTGTATAGGTAGTATCTGGAAGGATGCGATTGTCCCACTTAGGAGTCGTACAACGCTATGCGGACGACGCTCAGTTCACTGTTAGCCAGAAGGGCATTGGCAAACTTGAAAAGTACGGGATGATACATATATATATATATATAATTAGCAATCGGTATTCAAATTTCGTAGTTTCAACGAAGGAAATAAAATAGATAAAAATCAATAAAATTTGCATACTTTAATTGGCGTCTTCAAATGTTAATTTCTTCATAATAATTTTCGTAACATTGTACGATATTTTATTTTTATATCGAGTGATATCGAGGATTTAATATATAAATATATGTAAACAAATTATGATTTATTACATAACATGGTAATAAATTTTTAATTTATATTCACAAGGGAAACAATAGCTTTAAATTATTTATTTTTAAATAACTTCTTAACATAGTAATTCTTTCCTAAGAATGATTAATACTACTTTAATGATTTATGGTAAGAATCAATTATAAAATAAAAGACTTAGAAATAAAGTTTTATAACTGTAATTTAATCTATTTTATATTTTCAGTATCTAGGATAGAAATGTGACAAATATTTATGAATATTTGTATCAATTTAAATATACACGTGTCATTTATCGTGTTCACATTTTTTGTATGTGTTATTATCATTACAAAAATACAATAGAATTTTAGTTACTCCATATAATACAAGATTTTATTCATTTAGGTAAAAAACTACCCCAAAACTGTTATTTACAAGGCGCAAAATTAGTTGAAACTATAGAATTAAAACAAATAATTTTTAGTAAATTTTAAATGAAGTTATTACTCAAAAATAAATTTTAAATCATCATGACACTGTGAATCGTATTATTAATATTATTTATCACATTATTTATTTGTTTATTAGGATATTAACTCATTTACAAACCATTTATTATCAATAAAAAGTAGTAGAATAGTAATAAAAAATTTATTAAAAGCTTATTGAAATTGACTTTATTGAAATTTATTGAAATCGTTATATATCAAATGATACAATATTTGTTAGTGACATAACTTACTCTGATATAACATAATAATATTTGAGTAACAGCATAGTTAAACAATTTCTTTATGATTTAACCATTATTATAGACATTTGCTAATTAACTAAACTTTAAATAACTATGTAACACATTGTTATTCTATTTGGTAATAAAATAAGTTAAAAGAACACGCATATTAATATAATATTATATTGATAATAAAATTTCTAAATATCCTCAAGATCGATTTTGAAATTTTACAACTGTTACAGCTATTTATTGAAACTTTAAAGTATTGACATCTATCAAAAATAAATACGTACAAAACAAATGGAAAATATAGGTAGGGGGCTGAAAATATTTATATTCTTATTCTTATATGTGTAGAAAATTCTAAGATTATATAGCTCTCAGCGGGGCAAGCTTAATTGCTAGAATAGTGTTACCTTGAATCAAATTTAGTATATCTGTAGTGTTCAAAACGAGCGAGTAATACTTATGTACGAGGCATATTTAAAAATCAGACGTCGATTAGGTATTAAAAAAATTCAATAGAATTTAAGAGAAAAATGTGGCAGGTAAAAAGTTATTTATGTACATACGTTGTTCCTACATAGGCTCTATTTCTTTTTACGCACCTAGATTCAGCTTATAGAACAGCTTTTTCATACTCTCTCCATAGAAATTTGCAGCCTGCGTGATAAGCGAGTTTATAACATTGAACCAAAAATTTTCATCATCGTCGAAACATTTTAAATTCAATCATTTAATATCCTGGAAATTAAGTAAACATAGGCATTTTTTATGTTGGTTAAAAAATCTGTATCGACTTTTTGTGGTCAAATGCATCCTGCGAAAATGCTCTATGCGGGTATATTGCGCATGAAGTCATTTGCGGAAGTTAGTATACTATGCTGCTTATTATGATTATCTTTTCTTGAATTTGAAACCATAACTTATAAATAATTGATTAGTTCAAAGGAATATTATATATACAGTAGTTCACGAAAGTATTCGAACGTTATATTTCAAAAGAATTTTCTAACCTAAAAATTCAGATTTTAATGAAAGTTTGCGTGCAGGTACAATATAACGAGTTACGCATGCAGTAATTTTTTTGTTGGCAGAAAATAACTTTGCGGGGGTAAAATCAACGACTAAACTTTTAGCAATTGTTTTATTCTTAAATGGGACCTCATATGGAAAACTTTTTACTATAAAGTGACAGAGCACCAAAATTTAAACATTTCTTATTGAAAAAATTTTTCTTCATCTCGCATCGTTGGTTAGTTACATTTAAAAAGATAGAGATCAATACATATATGTATATTTCCATTAAAATCAGAATTTTTGGCTTAGAGTACTCTTAAAATTTATATAGCGTTCGAATACTTTCATGAGCGATTGTATATGAACCATTCGTATATGTTCTTAAATAATATTTGTGGTTACGACAAAAGTTCATTCACATAAAATTTTTATGATATTTACTGGACTAATAATAATTAGACAATGTTTAAACATTTTTGTAGTGTTCGTCAAATACATTATAAAATACATTTTAAATTGTAAGTTAACTGTATTTAGATTACTCTGTTTACGTTTCATTTTTCAAATCAATAGAATTTGTATGTATTTGGTTAAAAAAATTATGAAGAATATTAGTAATGAATGTAAATATTTGACAAAAATTTGTCAATATCGTTTATCTTTATACAATATAAATTATTTATACTTAGATTTTCGAATATTATCAACGTTGATAATATTCAATATATCATATATCATATATCAGATGATTAGTTTAATACATTTAACTAAGAATTATTAAACAAATTTTTATTTTAATAAAATATATTTTCAATTTTAATGAAATTGTGGAAAAGAGGTATAAACTAAAAACAATCAATTTTTTTGGTTTCACAGTGAATTAACCTCTTACGAATTTCCTGACACTAAACAGAAATGATATGTGGATGTAGTTGAAAAATTCTAGAAATTTACGTATAATACTAATTAAATATATATATATGTGGGTCGTCAATCTAAGACAATTACGTTAGAAGAGGCACGTATAGTATCAAAAACGGTCATGCGATGGAGTCGAGCCGTTTAATTAACTACCGTTATGTTTGTTTGGGCCGTTATGCCTGCTAAAGTGAAAACAGCTAGAAGTCTATACTACGAGTCGTGCGAATTTCTTCAAACTTATTTACTTAGGCGTTGTAAAAGATTAATAATAAGTATTTATCACTTTTACTAAACTTTTATCAGCTTATAATTTAAAATCGTAAATTTTTCCTTCTTTGGTTATATACTAGATTAGAGTAGACTAGTGTAGACTGGAGATGTACTAGACTATAGAGTTTAGAAATAAATAATACCTATGTTTAATCACGTTGCATTGTCTGAAAATATTTTGTTGAAAGAATTAATGTAAATTATTATGAAAAAATGAAAAAAATTCTTTGCCATTGTATATAAAGGAGTAGTTATAATTTGTATATACTTATTATACGTTTAATAGCAATAATTTAAAAATGTAATTAAGAAATAGATATTTTATTGAGTTTTAATAAAATAATAGAAATCACTATTCACGGACAAATTTTCTTTGTAGAATTTATAAAAGTTATGTTAGTTTTTGCTTAGACACTATCTTTCCATTTTATTTCTTTTCATATTTTCTGGATAAGAAGTTATTTTTGTTGAATGGTTAACATAAAATAGTAAAAAATGATACGAAGTATTTTCATTTTGTAACAAAATTATATTAAGATGTTTTAAATACAGCTACGAATTTTTCGTAATATTATTGGAATATATCAACACTCTTTGACTCAAACAATTTTTAATAATGTATTGTAGCAATACAAATGTAAAGAAATTTCTGGTAGTAATAACGTATCATCATAAATAGTGGATATAACCGCTAACGATTCATTATTAAGATAGTATATTTTATTACTATAAGGCAGTACTCATATTGTCTCTCGTCGCGCACGCGTATTTCATACACGTGATCACGTCACTTTGCATTATTAATTATAGTTGTATTCTAACTGTTCTTTTGCGTTCCATATATACCGATATAACTGCACTGGAGCTGAAGGAATGTTAGAATTGATAGTTAATATTTGAGTGAAATACGAA